GTATTTGTTCATTTTTTTAGTATGTAGTGGGCATCATGTTGAGTGCTGTATGCACATTAACTCACCCAATTCTCTCAACTCTCTAAGGGCACACACATAATCACACCCACATATCAGAGAAAGATGAAACTCAAGGAGCTTGGGATTATCACTTAGTGATTAAGAGGCCTCCCTGCTACTTCTAGACCTTATTCTTCCTCCCTTCTGGTAAGCCCCCATCCCCTTTACCATCTCTCTCCTCACTATCTTCTACATTCAGAAAGACTCTTCTCCTTCCTTATCCCCCTAACTCCTGCTGTTGTCCTAGGTGTCTTCCGCAAGCACATGATGCCTATCCAGAACCTGGCTTCTCAATCCTTTAAATACCTCCTGGACTCCATCACACACATTCTTCCAGGTCCTTATCACCAACAGAAACCACACTACCTCTAAATCTGAATTTCAAATACCCCCCTTCTTGACCTCCTGACTCTCTTTTTTCTTAAGACAGGGTCCACTCTGTCACCTAGACTAGAGTGCAGAGACATCATCACAGCTCACTGCAACCTCAAACTCCTGGGCTCGAGTGATCCTTCTGCCTCAGCCTCCCACATAGTTAGGACTACGGATGTATGCCACCATGCCCAGCTGAGTTTTCTATTTTTGTAGAGATGGGGTCACTGTGTTGCCCAGACTGGTCTCCACATCCTGGCTCAAGTGATCCTCCCACCTTGGCCTCCCAAAGCACTGAGATCACAGGCATGAACCACCGCACCTGGACCCCAACCCTCATTTTCTTATCCTTTTAGCGCTCTTGTACTCATGCCATAAACTCTACAAATTTCTCATTATGTACCAGTTCTGTGCCAGCTTCACTCCCCTCCTTGTTCAGTTAACATACTTGTGCTCCATCATCATGATCTTTTCCTTGTAAATAACTCAATATTCTTGCCCCTTTCTTCATAATACCCCACAAAGGGGTATCCCTTCTCTTATCACAAGCCATTCTGGATCCCATGACATCCCACTTTCCTGAAGACTTTGTTTCTATTGTACCACCTCTTCCTCAGCTTTATCAGTCCTGCTGTCTATTGGATTATTCTTATTAGCAGCTACTATCTGAAAACATGCTCCCTCTGCCGTCCATATTCCCTCTAGCTGTCTTATTTCTCTGCAGTCATTCACAGCCAAGCTTCTGAATGGTTGTCTACACATGTTCTGTTTCCCTGTCTCCCACTCTCTCTTCAGCGTGCCCCCAGTCTGCCACCCCCACTGCCTGTGAAATCTTTCATCAAGGTCAACAACCTCTATGCTTTCAAATTCAATACACGTTTTCCTGACCTTATCTTCTATGATCTCGCCACAGACAGTCAACACATTTTTATGTTCTCTCCTGCTTGAAATATTATCTTCTTTTGTTTTTATGGCAGTGTAACATCTTTGTTTTCCTCTCCCCTGACTGCTTGTCTGTTCTTATTCTCTTTTCTTTTTTCCTGGCTTTTCTCTTTTTTGTTGGCTCCTCAGCCCCTCCACATGATCGCTAAATAATGGTGTTCTTCCGGGCCTGCTCCTAGCCTACCTGCTTTTTCCTATGTATACTTTTTTCTTAGATGATCTAAATATTTCTGGGGCTCCAAATATCCTCTATTTTCTGACAAGTCTATGATTTATATCTCCATTTTGGATCTCCAAATGTCCAAATGTCTCCACTCAGATGCCTCAGGTATTTCAAACCCACCATGTTAGAAAGAGCTCTGTTTCCTTTGCAACACCCCCTCCCCCATCTCCTCCATCTCAGTAGAGGGCACTGCACACGCACTCTTCCTCAGATGTCCCCACCAGCACATCGACCTCTACCTTTGTCCCATCTGCCTCCAAAGTGTACCTCAGATACAGCCAGAGCAGCCACTCCACTCCCTCAGTGTCACCCTGTTTGTTTTCCTTATAGCATCAACCTCAATCTGTAGTATATTTTTACTTGTCTATTTTTTCCCCAAAAGTAAGCTCCATGAAGGTAGAGATCACACCTTGCTTGTTTACTATTGTGTTGCCAGAAGCACGTCATATCCTTAATGAGTATTTACTAAATGAATGAAACTCTTTCTAGAATAAATGACAGACCTTAGATTTTTACCTTTATGGACTATAACAGGCATTTAAACAAAAAAAGGTATCTTACAACATCTTGGGAAGACCTCAACATGTACTCCAATGTTCCCAGTAGAATCCTCTGTTCAGATTCTCGCCTAGGCCAGCACGAAGAAGGGGGCAGATAAGACTGGGCACTGTGAACTCCTTGCAAAGAACAGGGGACTTGCTCAGGTGTGCCTATGTTATGTTTCTCTAATGTAATAAACAGAGCACAAGCTTTGGAGTCAGTCAGGCCTGGAACCAATCTCAATTCTGGCACCGTGTATTATCTGGCATGGTGTGTTATCTCAAGTTATTTATTTAATTTTTTTTTGAGACAGAGTCTCGCTTTGTTGCCTAGGCTAGAGTGAGTGCCGTGACGTCAGCCTCGCTCACAGCAACCTCAAACTCCTGGGCTCAAGCAATCCTCCTGCCTCAGCCTCCTGAGTAGCTGGGACTACAGGCATGCGCCACCATGCCCGGCTAGTTTTTTTCTATATATATTAGTTAGCCAATTAATTTCTTTCTATTTATAGTAGTATATATAGGGGTCTCGCTCTTGCTCAGGCTGGTTTTGAACTCCTGACCCCGAGCAATCCGGCCTCCCAGAGTGCTAGGATTACAGGCGCGAGCCACCCGCGCCTGGCCATATCTCAAGTTATTTAAACGTTCTAAGCCTACGTCCTCATCTGCTATTGGAAAGACACCATGACTGAGGATTAAATGATGTATCACTTGTGGAGGGCCTTCCCCAGTGCCTGACAACTGACAGATACAGACATGGGAGTGGCCTAGAAGTCGAGCCCAACCTCTTCCATTCCAAAACAGAGCACTACTCAGTAAGAATAAAAATGAAACCTGATGTAAAGCAGATGCGTTTTGAAAAAACTGCGATACATCACTGTCACACTGTTTAGCAGGGAAAGGCAGGAATTTTCTTCGTCTGAAAGGGCCCTGTAGAAGAGTGGAAAGAATACTGAGCTGGGAGTCAGCAGATCTGAGTTAGGGCACTGACTCTACTAATTGCACCATATGCCAATTTGCACAATTCATTTCATCTCTTTAAGCTTTTTCCCTGTGTTTAAAATGGAAGGCTCCTAGCACAGTGATGGCCCTCATGGACAATAAAGAAATGTTTCATAAATCTTGATTTTATAGATGCAAATGCTAAGGCAGATTGTGATTAAGTAACCTGGGGCTGACACTCATCAGACCGCTATAGTAGAGACAGAAATCTCAGGCCACAGGGTGAATTCTCTCTTTCAAATGTGAAAAAGACGAACAAAATGTTCCAAACTCTCAGAAACCAGGTCTTTTATTCTAAGATGCTATTTATAACAGGTAAAATGGCTACTGGAGTCTTCCTTTCAGACTCACATTGGTAAAAGTGTTCACACGTAATAGCTCAGATGCTGTAAGGAAAGTCAAACAAGTTTCTCCAGTGCTAACAAAGACACTGTTAAGCAGTGTCTATCAAATTTCTTACTTCCATCCTTTTGGCTCTATCATTGCCAAGGCTCAGGGATGGGAGCAATGCTTCCAAGTCTAACATCAGCAGAAACAACTGGGAGAGAAGGGTGTATGCAACAGAAACATGCATCAGTCTTTTGTTTTTAAAATCCTCAAAGAACTGCTGGAATGTACTTTTCTGGAAAGCCTAGAGCAAAACACCATCAGCCATACAGGAGTCAGAACCTGTTTACATTTTCACTCACGAAATTATTGGAATCTCTCGGAATGAGAAAGCAGGTTTTGTTCACTTTCTTAACCAACAAAGTTTTACTCAAGTTCTTTCAACACTTCAAAATTCAAATCTGTGATATCTTAAGAATTCAAAAAACCAAAATAATGTTTCTGATTCTATTGTTCAAGTCCAGACTTACTGACAAGAGTAAACAAGATGAAAAAAACAACAGGTAGCTTACAACTTACAAACTGTTTATTTCTGGAATAAGATGAAAGTACCTGACAGCTTTGCAGAGCAGTTCATTAGCTTTAATGACCAGCTAAGAATTTAAGTAGATAAACAAGATGGGTCTGGGACTATTTTTCCTCTTCTTAGTTGTTAATAACCTGAGGAAAACCATGTCTACTGGTGTGATTTCAAATTTTAGGTTACCATATGTATAATTTATCAGATTTATTTTCTGAAAACATTTTTTTTCCTTAAATTGACAAGAAGGAGGTGAGGGTAAAGCTAAATTCAATAGTGTAACACAAACTTTTTCTAGTAACTGACCAATAAAAGCTCCTCTTAGCACCCTAGGAAATATTTCATAATGCCCTCAGCAGTTATATTCTAACGCCTATTTCCATAAGCTGTCTCAACTCAGTCCTGGGGCCCAGGCCTTTCTGCTGTGAGGTATAGATGGGGAAAAGATGAAAACAGAGCTAGACCTATACATGGAATTAACCCTAAAGAAATGATTAACAATGAAACAAGAGATTCCTAAAAGATGCCACCTAGGTCTGAACTAGCAGCAGTCTGCAGCTAAAGCTACACTTATGTTCCCTGACATTCATTACATTGATTCCCTAGCTCCTCCCCTAAGCCTTTGATTGCACAAAAAATCCTTCATTAAAGCTCATATAGGAATATAGAATTTTTCTAAGGAGAAAAGTTGAGACACTGGTCTTAAAATGGAACTGGATGACAAAGAATCAAATGAAACTGGGTTTCTAAAAGAGGATATGGCCAGGGTCTCTGGCTCCCTGCAGTTGTCATATTATTATCACATTAAGTACTAAAATGCAGTATCACATAGAAAACAAGTTTCCAATCTAAGACGAAATTCAGCCTCTGGAAACACCCAATTCTACTTATCCCTTGATATGTTAGGCAACCAAAAAGAGTAAACTGGTGAGTATCGCAAAGAAATGAGAATGATCACCTCCATTTCGTACATCGGGGGCCCAAGGATGTCTTTCAGAGCATGGAAATCAATCAAAATTGGCATTTCGGGTGGTAAGGCCAAGTCAGTAGCGTCACTGATAGATTCAGGCTTTGCATCTTCTAAGATGTGTTCTTTGCAACCTAAGAGAGAAAAATTTATTTAGAAGTTGTGATTTGTAGGTTTGAGAATTCATAAGTAGTAAATATCAAACAGAAGCATAGTGGACTTCAATAGTTCAGTCCCTTTCATGCATTGAAAAAAATCACTTTGTGTATCTGTGGAACACAGGTGGAAGAATTGGTCTTTCAAGAGCCCCTCCAGACTGGTATGCCTTGTTCATTTTTTATTTTGGAGACCTGGTCTCCTTCTGTTGGCTGGGCTACAGTGCAGTGGCATCGTCACAGCTCACTGCAACCTTCAGCTCTGGGGATCAAGCGATCCTGCCTCAGCCTCCTATTAACAGTACCTTGTTCACTTACTTTTACTTGTTTATAACCCGTCTCCCCCATTAAATGGTGAGCACCAGGAGGGCAGTAACCTTGCCTGTCCTCTTTTTAACCATTATATTCTTAACTCAAGAACAATGTCTGGCACTACGCAACTTATGAGCCCTAGAGGCCAGATACTGAATGGTCAAATGCAATAGATGACTTTGGACAATTCTGTTAGATCAAACTAACTTAGGGCTTGTGACAAACTTTTCAATTCCTTCTTCAGGGAAGTTTGATCAGGTGTCTCATTTTCTAATGGGCAACATGAACTTGGAAATGATAGAACCCATATAAGCAATGCCTCTTTTGTAAGTATATAGCTCAACTCATTAGCATTTTCCAATATAAATAAATATATTAATTACTAGTGCCAGGGTAAGAGAACACAAAGCCTGGTTTGAAATCCCTGTAACAATGAACTATTTCCTTTACCTGCCTAAGAGCCCTGATTGGCTGATATCTTGTCAAAGTATTGACTCAGTTTGGTTTGCCTAGATATACAGGGAGCAGGACCCAACTGCTTTATCAGATCACCTTCTCTATCGGTCTTTGTAAGGCCAGTATGAGTAAAGAAAAATATTACATAATCTGTGGTCTGAAACCTAAAATGAGGAGCAGAGGTTTTTAAAATGTAGGAAATATTTGGCTCTATTCTCATTCCTAGCCTTCTTTTTCTTTTAGTTTGCCATAATTTTTCCACCTCTTGTACTATCTCATGAAATGTTTTCTTCTAAAATCTTTATTACCTTTTTACATACTCTCCTCCTTCTGAAAGTGACTGTTGTACATGATACACATATAATTATACAGTTACCTAACATTGTATATCTCTATATTTATTGTAGTTTTGCTATGATTCTTACATTCGTAAATCATGAAATTAAAAGAATTGTTTTTTCATTAACTTCTTTCCTTTCAAAAGTGATTACTGAATATGTTTAACAATAGTAGACCTTCATAACTGGAGACATCTTGGGTGTCACTAAATGATTCTAGTGTGACCTTTAGGGTGAAAGGTTCTTCTAGTCTACTCTCCTGCTGGCCTCCACCGGGCTCCTTTTCAAGGCTAAATCCTAAGTGATACAAGGAGGGAAAATAAAAATTCAGATTTTCTACCACTTGATGGCTATTGGACAGAGCAAATTATGCTATCCAAAGCATCAGACCTGTCACCACCTATCTCTGCAAGATTGTTGTGAGAATTAAAAAGAAAGCCCTTTGTAGACTGCCAAGTGCAGTATGTAATATACACACCGTATCGTGTGTGTACGTCCTGAGTTATACATATTCTCATGATCACACCTCTGAATGTCACTTGATCTTTCAAGGTTTGGCTTGACCATGTTCTAGAAGTCTTCCCTGATTTTTCTAACTTCTTTCATAGCATCCATTTGTTTCACAAAATCTAGCAATTACTGGGTTACTCAGTAGCTTGTGGAAATGGGAGATGTTCTGCTTGCTGCTCTTACTGCAGCATATTCCAGCAATATCAACGACCAACAGCGGGAAAGCACTCAAATGATCAGTTTAGCTATAATATGCCAATCTCAGAATCTAAAAAGCAAGTAGGCATCACTGCTTAATTAAAACTAATGCACAGACAAAAAAGCACTACTTGTCTAAGGTTACCCTAAAGTTGAAAGGTAGTGGTACTCTTAAACTTCAGCCAGTGCACAAAGAGCCTGCAAGTTTCTCTAGTCTGTGGTGCTTTAAGACAAGCTTTTCTGAGATCTAATTACTCTTGCCAGCCTCTATTTCACTATCACAGGAGAAAGTAAAGCTGGATGGGTGAAAGCCAATCTACAATTATGTAACCAGTGCTTTAGGATATTCAATCCGTTTTCAAGTGTAGTACTGAATTCAATGCTTTGAGCACTGAGGCATTGGGGGTGGGGAGAGCTATTTCTAAAGCAACTAGACATTAAAACATAAACGATGACAATTTATGTATAGCAGCTGTGTTATAAAATATACAATAAACTCAGAAATAACCTGTACTTCAAAATTTTCCATCATTAGAATACAAGCCTAGAAAATGAATGCTTCAGTTAAGAAAACAGCGTCAGCTAGTGGGGAGACACAGGACAGCACTGGGTTTTAAGTATTCAGTGGCATTAAATGCATTCACACTGTTCTAACTATCACCACTATCTATATCCAAAACTTTTCATCATCCCTAGCATAAACTCTGTACCCGATAAATAAAAACTCCCCATTTTCCACTCCCTGCATCCCTGGTAACCACCACTCTACTCTCTGTTTCTGTGAATTCGACGACTTTAGACCCCTCGCACGATGCTTTTCCTTCTGTGTCTGGCTTATTTCACTCAGCCACAATGTTTTTCTTTTTATTTTTTTCTGTCACACTTCTGTCTACAACACTTAGCCACATTTTCAAGGCTCATGTTGTAACATGTACTAGAATTTTCCTTTTTAAAAACTGAATGATATTCCATTGCATGTATATACCATATTTTGTTTTTCCATTCGTCTGCTAACAGACACGTGGGTTGTTTCCACCTTTGGCTGGTGTGACCGATGTTACCATGAACATGAGCATACAGATGCGCTTAAGTCCCTGCTTACAGGTCTTTTGAACGTATACTTAGGAATGGAATTGCTGATAATACTGACTGTAGTTCTCCGTTTAAACTTTTTGAAGAACTAACAAAACATTTTCCACAGTGGCTGCACTATTTGACATTCCTATTGGCAATACACAAGGGTTCCAATTTCTCCACATCCTTGCCAATGCTTGTTATTTTTATTTTTTTTAATTACAGCCATCCTACTGAGTGTGAAGAAATATCTCATTGTGGTTTCTCTAATGACTAATGATGCTGAGTGACTTCTCGTGCTCTTGGCCATCTGTGTATCTTCCTTCGAGAAAGGTCTATTTGAATCCCTCACCCATTTTTTAACTAAGGTGTTTTTTTTTTGTGATTGAATTGTAGGAGTTATTTATATATACTGGATATCAATCCCTTATGAGATACATGTTTTGCAAGTATTTTTTCCCATGTGTAGGTTTTTTTTATTTTCTTAATAGTGTCCTTTGATGCACAAAAGTTTTTAATTTGATGCATAAAAGTTTTTAATTTTGATGAAGTCTAATTTATTTATTCTTTTTTTGCTTTATAGAAATAAGGTCTCACTCTTTTGCCTAGGCTGGTCTCAAACTCCTGGCCTCAAGTGATCCTCCAGCCTTGGCCTCCCAAAGTGTTAGGATTACAGGTGTGACAGCAACTGGCTTATGTTTTCTTTTTCTGCCTGTGTTTTTGGTGTCATATCCATGAAATTATCAAATATGATGTCAGGAAGATTTTTCCCAATAGTTTCTTCTAAGAGTTTTATAGTTTTAGCTCTTAAGTTTAGATCTTTGATCCACTTTCAGCGAATTTTTATATACAACATAAGGAGAGAGTCCAAGTCCAACTTCATTCTTTTGCATGTGGATATATCTAGTTTTCCCAGCTCCATTTGTTGAAAAGACTGTGCTTTCCCCATTTAATGGTCTTGGCCCCTAGTTAAAAATCATTAACCATATATATGAGTATTTATTTCTGGGCTCTCTAGTCTATTCCTTATGCCATCACCATACTATTTTAATTACCGTAGCTTTGTATCATATTAAGTTCCTTTTTTTTTTTTTGAGACACAGTCTTGCTCTCTTGCTTGGGCTAGAGTGTCGTGGCATTAGCCTAGCGCACAGCAACCTCAAACTCCTGGGCTCAAGTGATCCTCCTGCCACAGACTCTGGAGTAGCTAGGACTACAGGCCTGTGCCACCATACCTGGATCATTTTTTCTATTTTTGTTATATAGATAATTTCTTTTTCTTTGAAACAGAGTCTCACTTTATTGCCCAGGCTAGAGTGAGTGCCATGGTGTCTGCCTAGCTCATAGTAACCTCAATCTCCTGGGCTCAAGTGATCCTTATGCCTCCCCAGTAGCTGTATAGGCATGTGCCACCATGCCCAGCTAATTTTTTGTATATTTATTTTTAGTTGGTCAATTAATTTCTTTCTATTTTTAGTAGAGACGGGGTCTCGCTCTTGCTCAGTCTGGTCTTGAACTCCTGACCTTGAGCAATCCACCTTCCTTGGCCTCCCAGAGTGCTAGGATTACAAGCGTGAGACACCGCACCCTCGACCCTCAAATTTTTTTGTTTTGTTTTTTTGAGATAGTCTTGCTCTGTTGCCTGTGGGTAGAGTGCAGTGGTGCCATTGTAGCTCACTGCAACCTCAGACTCCAGGTCTCACCTCTTGCCTCAGACTCCTAAGTAGCTGGGAATACAAGTGTGTGCTACCACGCCTGGCTAATTTTTCTATTTTTAGGAGAGACAGGATCTTGCTCTTGCTCGGGCTGGTCTTGAACTCCTGAGCTTGAGCAATCCTCTTGTCTCAGCCTCCCAGAGTGCTAGGATTACAGGTGTGAACTACCACACCCAGTCTGTAGCAAGTTTTGAAGTCAGAAAGTGCAGAGTCCTCCATTTTGTTCTTCTTTTTCAAGATTGTTTTGGCTATTTAGTGCTCCTTGCAACTCAGTGAGAATTTGAAAATCAGCTTTTTCATTTCTATGAAAAAGGATGTTAGAATTTTTGGAAGGGATTGCATTCACTCTGTAGATCGCTTTGAGCAATATTGATAT